CACACGCTCTATATACTCACGACACACGCTCTATATACTCACGCCACACACTCTATATACTCACGACACACACTCTATATACTCACGACACACGCTCTACACTCACGACACACGACACGCCGTATTTGTGCCCCAGGAAGTCGTGCAGCTGCTATATACTCACGACACACACTCTATATACTCACGACACACACTCTATACATACCTACTCACGACACACGCATGCATGGGTATACTCACGACACACGACACGCCGTATTTGTGCCCCAGGAAGTCGTGCAGCTGTTTGTTGTCGTGCAGGTCCCAGAGACGCACGGCGGGCTGGTGACCGCACTCCCCCAGCGCGAGGTAGCGGCCGCATGCGCTGTACGCTACGCACGTTACTGTCTTGCGTGACGCGTTCTGTACGTGCGCCTGTCTGCTCTTGCGCGCGTTTAGCTGCACCACCGTGCACCTGTGGGGTTAAAGGGGGGAGGAGGGTTATAACCTGGGCCTACGCATGTTCACACTTNCCACTTATGTCTATCACACTTACGCCCACTTATGTCTATCACACTTACGCCCACTTATGTCTATCACACTTACGCCCACTTATGTCTATCACACTTACGCCCACTCACGTCCCCTACATCTGTGACCACCTGCCCACCTGCATCCCATTCCACCATCAAAGGTCCCGTTGTCCCGCCAATCCCCCATCCAAGATCAAACCTCTCAGACCTTCATTCCCCCGTCAAAGGTGATTACCCTTTCGATCTCCCATTCCTATTTGTAAGAGAAAATCACCCCTCAGGCCCCCTTCCCCGGTCAAAGGTAATTACCCCTTCGATCTCCCACTCCTATTTATAAGAGATCATCACCCATTAGACCCTATTCCCCCGTCAAAGGTGATTACATCTTCAATCTCCCGCTCCCATTTATATGAGGTTATCACCCCTCAAACCTACATTCCCCCGTCATAGGTGATCACCCCTTCGATCTCCCACTCCTATTTCTAAGAGATCATCACCCTTCACACCCCTATTCCCCCGTCATAGGTGATCACCCCTTCGATCTTTTACTCCTATTTATAAGAAATTATTACCTCTCACACCTCCATTACCCAGTAAAGGGTGACACCCCCTCATCACCCCTCTTACCCGGCAGGGTAGGCGACGTTGCCGGTGTGAGGGTCGCAGTCGAGGGCAGCATTGCTGGTCACCGTCAGCCCCAGCACGCGCTCCAGCTGCACCTGCACACACAAGGCCAAGCTTCGGTTAACACAAGACAATTTTTATTTAATAATCAGTCAACATAAGCCATATTTTATTTAATAATCTGTCAACATAAGCACATTTTTTAATCAGTCAACACAAGCCAATTTTTACTTAATGATCAGTCAACACAAGCTGTATTTTATTTAATATTCCGTCAACATAAGACACTTTTTATTTATAATCAGTCAACACAAGCCAATTCTTATTTAATAATCACTCAAAACAAGCGAATTCATACTTAATAATCAGTCAACACAAGCTAATTTTTATTTAATAATCAGTCACCACAAGCCAATTTTTATTTATAATCAGTCAACACAAGCCAATTTTTATTTAATAATCAGTCAACACAAGCCAATTTTTATTTAATAATCAGTCAACACAAGCCAATTTTTATTTAATAATCAGTCAACACAAGCCAATTCTTATAATTCAGTCAACGCTAGCCAATACTCTTAGTTATTTTATCATAATTTGTTAATGATTTAGAAGCCTCGCGCCACTAATATGTAGTGGTGCTAGAGGAGAGCGCGTATCCAGGATATTTATTTTGTAGGGATATTACCTAAAAATCTAACATTTCATTCTTAGTGAGAGAACAGGAAGAGATTAGAACAAAAATTGAAATTTAGCATTTTTCAGCATTTAGCATTTGGAAAAATATAGTTAACATAAGGACACAAAATATTTTGTTACATGTTTAGAAATGAGAACAAAATTGGATTCCTATCTTATTTGTAGAAGCATGATTGAAGATATCTATATTAAATTAGAGTACATATAAGCTTAATATCATTACGGAAATGACGGAATGAATCGGAATAACAGGAATCCACAATTGCAAAAAATTATACATAAAGCTCGACCAACGCAGGGCTAATCTGATATGTTCTAAATAATGTCTGAACGTGAGGCAACAGTAATATTTATATTTTGGCAGTTATATCTCAACATGAAGTAACAGTAATGAATGGCCGCGGCCATTAATACCAGTCCGATATACTCATATAGGCAACGTGGTCTTTATAAAACAGCTTATCGCTATTTTCAATAGGTAGTAAATTAAGGATCTTTACATAAAACCTCACTCGTTACTCTGAATATAACTACACACATTTGTATGTAGTTTTATTTGTGTTTAGTGTAGTTATATTAATGTTCGTATTTGATGTGTGTATATCAGCATCAGTATATCATATGCCACACAACACGTATACAAATTCATTTAATTCATTAGTATACCGATTCATTTTATTTATTAGTATACAGATTCATTTTATTTATTAGTATACCGATTCATTTAATTCATTAGTATACCGATTCATTTCATTTATTAGGATACCGATTCATTTTATTTATTAGTATACTATGTATTCTAGAAAATACATCCTAAAATGCATCCTACAAAATGTATTCTGAAAATACATCCTAAAATGCATCCTACAAAATGTATTCTAGAAAATCCATCCTACAAAATGCATTCTAGAAAATGCATCCAAGAAAATGTAACCTACAAAATAATTTCTAGAAAAGGTAGGTATCCTGGCAAATCCTTAAAAACAAAAGATAATCGCTGTAACGAGACAGCAAAGACTCTAGCATCCAAAGGATTAATGACGACCCTTGCAATTAGAGGAGCTAGCAAGAAGTGGACAATAATAAGGATAAATGAACGAGTTATACATGTATTGTTCGTGTATATGTAAATACAATAACAATACAATATATGTATTGAAAACAATACATATATGTATAAAAACAATATATGAATATGTATAAAAATATGTATAAAAAACAATACAATAAATTTATTGTTCGTGTAGTGACACACTATACCGTATACCCATAGCACAAGCAGATATTGGATGTAGCACTGATAGGTACGCCTTTTCTGGGGACATAACGAGTCAAAATTACCCATACAAGCGCAAAAAAATGTAACTCGGTACTCACTGCAGTGAGTAACAGAGAGCGCATTTTCTCATCGACAAAAACGTGAAGTCACGGACAGAAGGACGGACATGACGAGCACAATAGGGCATTTTTTCAATAGATGAGAAAATGCGCTAGAAATGCATCGCTATACGGACATAGTCCCACTTATTTGGATGAGTGCGCTGAACACCTGGCAGCTGAAGCACCAGGCCATATAAGGCGCCTGGCCACGGTTAGCCAATAGTGTCAAGCAAGACACGCTTCACTTGTCCTTAAAATTCTACGAGCTGTTCATGAATTTTGTTCAATATACTTTACGTACGATACTTGAAGTGTACGTAATATATTTTCATAGTAAGCTTATAGACTCAAAGTGACTGGAATTTCCTGTTAAGAATGTCAACTTAAGTGTCCCTGGCTTAATTTATTCAATACTTTAATACGTACGATAGAGTGTACGTAATATATTTTCCTAGTAAGCTCATATAATCAAAGTGACTGGAATTTTCTGTAAGGAATGTCAACGTAAGTGTCCCTGGCATGTCAAGCTCGATTAGGATTCGGAGATGAGGGGGTTGCCAGATTCATTATTATAAAGATTAAAGTATTCTTCTTGTTTTAAAGAGTAGAGATTTAGAGATTAAATTATTCTTGTTTTGTTTGGACGAGCATTAATGTTCGTAATTAAATTGAGAGAAGAGAGTTTTTATTCTTCAGTCGAGAGAACATCATTGTCGTCTCTATATGTTGACAGATAGCGATTGTTGTCCTTGTATCGAGAAGCCTACCCAGTTAAATTTCAGAGACGCATTCTGCGCCGTTCACGGCAGAAGAACAGTTTAGCAGCAGCATTGCAGCAGGAATCTCAGGAAACTGTCCCTTTCCTCCCTCCCCCCTTGCCCCTCACACCCCTCCTGCACGCCGAGGTACCCTCACTAGCCCCTTGACCCACCCTGACCCCTTGACCCACTTGATGGTGAGGCCCTTGGAGACGTCGACGCCGAGGTAGTGGGTGCGGGGGAGGGTTGTAATGAACTGCAGGTTGTAGGGGTTGAAGCAGCGCACGATCGCGTCCCCGCACCCCACGAAGATGAACTCCTCGCCTGCCACCAGGCAGTTGGCGCTCGTCGTCTGCCCGGGGAGGGGGGGGGTTTAAATAGGCAGGAGGGAGAGGAGGGGGGGTGAGAGGTGACGTCAGCAGAGGAGGGGCAGGGGTGAACTTGGCAGGAGGGAGGGGGAGGGAGGGATGAACTTGGCAGGAGGGAGGGGAAGGGGGAAGGAGGGGTGAACTTGGCAGGAGGGAGGGGGTGAGAGGTGACGTCAGTGGAGGGTGAAGATGACAGTAACAGTGAGCGGTGAATATAGAGTGAATATGAGGTGAACAAGCATGATCATGATGCAACACGGAGGCAATAAAGGGTGAATATTAATTCAACAATCTGTGTACCTTATTGTTCTCGCACCTTGAGCTCCACCCACTCCTCTCACCCACTTAACCCACCCTGAGCTCGACCCACTCATGACCCACTTGACCCACCCTGAGCTGATGCTCAGGTAGTGGTGATGCTCAACACTTGACCCACCCTGAGCTCGACCCACTTGACCCACCCTGAGCTCGACCCATTTATCAAGCAGACGTCGGTTATTAAACTCGCACAGCAGGCCGGACTTGGTGATGGCGAAGGTAGAGTCGCCCATCTCGCCGCGCCCGCACGCCACGTCGCAAAAATAATTGTTGCGCTGCTCCCCCAGGATGGCGGACCGGCCCGTCAGCGGCACCGGCTCCTTGAACTGATCAAAGTTACATTAGGTTAGCTTTAAAGTTACATTTGCTTTTAAAGTAACATTTGCTTAAAGTTACGGCTGCTTAAACTGCCCGGTTAGCTTTAAAGTTACATTAGGTTAGAGTTCCGGCTTCTCAAACTGCTCAAAGTTACGTTAAGTTAGGTTTAAAGTTACCTTAGGTTACGTTTAAAGTTACACTAGGTTAGCTTTAAAGTTACATTAGGTTAGGTTTAAAGTTACGTTAGGTTACGTTTAAAGTTACGTTAGGTTACGTTTAAAGTTACGTTAGGTTGCTTTAAAGTTACCTTAGGTTACGTTTAAAGTTACGTTAGGTTACGTTTAAAGTTGCACTTGCTTGAAGTTCCGGCTGCTTAAACTGCCCAAAGTTAGATTAGGTTACGTTTAAAGTAACATTTGCTTGCGGTAGTTACAATTTGCCTTTAATTTGCTTTTAAAGTTACACAAGTTCAGAGGTACATTAGGTTAAAGTTCAAAGTTACATTTGGTTGAATTTTAAAGTTACATATGGTTGAAGTCTATGGTTAGATTTGCTTGAAGTTTAATGTTACATTTGGTTGAAGTTTAAAGTTACATTTGATTGAGGTTCATATAGTTACATTTGGTTGAAATTCAAAGTTACATTTGGTTGAAGTTTAAAGTTACATTTGA